GGTATACGCGCACCCCACGCTTGGTATTGCCGACGCACAAAAATATACCTAATAAAGAGGTGAAAAAGGTCTCATAGATTAATTTACTCTAATCCTGCTTAAAAGCATTTCCCTCTACTCTTACACTGCTAAATTAGGAACGGCTAGCTGAGGTAGCCTTCGTGTAGCTTTGCGCGAAATTCAAACCAAACCGTTTGGTTGAGGTTTATTTGAACTTACAAGCTTTAAAGCACTGTTCGCAGCGCTTTCTCAAGCGGAATACCTAAATAATAATAATAATAAATCTATGAGAAGGATGCGAGAAAAAACGCAACGATATTGTTGTGAGTGAAAAATACGACCACAGTTGATATGGTGTGAACGCCTTTTACAAGTTGGCGAAGCAGGATTATAATTATAATTGTCATAAGACATTAGTATTAGGCCTATTATATGTTTATAAATTACACTTCTTATCTAATCCTTTATGGATTTTTCAAGACTTAGGAGAATATGTAATAATAATAATAATATTCCAAGCACATTATATTTGCCATGTCCATTGCCGACGTCGTGTTTCACTCAATCCAGAGCAATGGGAAACAACGAACACGTGTTTTGACAAGTGTAAATACGACAATAATGTTGTATACTAAAAAACAACAATGATACAAAACTATCAAATAACAAAAGATTATATGAAAACAAAGCAAGGTTCTTTTGGTATACAACGCCGTTGAAATATATTTATTTCCTTAAACTAATACACTATCAGTTCAGTTTGAAAAAAAAATCAAAAAAATCATCTATAAGTGTAAGTGTTTGTTTGAGTCACATTGTCTGTAATCATCAAATATGTCTGTATAAACCACACTATATTTAATCGACGATTAAATATAGTGTGGTTTATACAGACATATGTGTATTATATATATAGTATGACTTATACAGAAATTAGTGGCACTAGATTTTGTATAAATCATACTATATATATAATACACATATATCTGTATAAACCACATTATATTTAATCGACACTAATTTCTGTATAAATCATACTATATATGATACACATATGTCTGTATATGTCTGTATAAACCACACTATATTTAATCGACACTTATTTCTGTATAACCACACTACAGTTAATTGAAATAATGTCCCACATTTACAAAGCTGCTATACTACAAATTTAATGCTTGAACTACTATTTTGCATTTCTTCAGTTTATTGATCATTACCGCTAAAATGCAAATTTAATTTCTTTAACCAAGTTACGAACGGTTAATTAGTAGGCCTACTTATTTAAATACTCTGATGTAAATCAATGCCAAATTTAGGATCCGCTATCGGGGAACCCCTGTAAAAGTGTTTTCTCAAAATACCTGGACTTTGTAAGGGGTTGGGTAAAAAGTATTACCTTTGTGCAAACCTCGCGACCATCGTTTGATACCATTTAGAAATCAGGGCGACCAGCGATTTAGGAAGAGTTACGTGACACACACACACACACTGAATATTATTATGTCTGTATAAAACACTAATTTAGTATATACAGAAATTGCAATGAATTTTTTCTAATAGGCGTTGAATAACAAACCCATATCACACATCATACAGACGTGCAGTCTCAAGTTATATCAGCAACCTATCTAAACGTCAATGGTAGTGTTTTATATAGTATTACATCTTGAGATGAGGAAGGTGACAAGTTTCTTTTTTGAACTTTATTAAAATTTCTCCTTCAGAGTTAATTTTGTGCTAAAACTCTCGACAAATAAATTAAAATCTTGATTCCTAGTCACAGGATACATTTGTTTTTATCAAAACTTGACATTAAACTGTATGGTGCTGTAAACGAAAAACTGTTTTGACAATCACTAGTTCTCTGTTGAAAAATTGGCTGTATAGGTTTTATCTAGAAGATTGCAGTGATCGAAGAGCATATGCTTGTGACACTAAACTTCTGAATCCTCTTCGAACAAATCGTTTCCAGGGCAACGCTGCTTCGCAGAGAAAGCAGATTCTCGTACCCACATTCTAGCTGCACCATTAGGGTTTTCAGTGTTTCAAATGTGATACTTTATTTTTTTGTGATTAATTAATGATTACAGCGGGTTCAAACCACAGAAATGTTGTCCAAAATGAAAATATAAGCACAATAATGAATAAGATTTCATACCTTTTAAATCAAAACTTTGTGTTTATCTCCTTTAATCGTTAATAACTTAAATTAATGCCGTTTCTTAGATTTCTTTTTACTGACAGTTTCTCCTTTTTTCTTCTTCTTCACTTAAGGGCAAAAGATTGTAAATAATAAACTGGTTATGATTTGTGTTTAAATAAAAAAAGTACGCGAAACGAACATTTTTTTTAGCCATCAGATCTTACAGTAGGTCGTTAATCACACATACAAACTAACGTTAATACAGAGAAGAAAGTCACACATGGAAGGTTATTTAACATGTGGATACTTCAAACTTCTAATACTCCAATTATTAAGTGGTTTGCGATCAAGATTTACGAAGGACCACAAAAATTATATATTTATTCAGTACCTTTTATTTACCGTGTTGTTTTCATTATACAACAATGAGGAAAATCGTATCTTAAAAAAATCGATTTTTTAAAAATTCCAATAATTATTATGTTTTAAAACTATTCAACACGTAAAAGAAAAAAACGAACAGATTCCAGTGTTGTAACACATAACATAAAAACGAACACATTCCAGTGTTGTAACACATAACACATCAAGCATGTTGAATTTAGAGGAAACTCGTTGGTTTGATTCAGAAATGTCTATTTAAAAAAAGATTCTAAAACAGTCGTATAAATTTTGTCGTTTCTTTTTCAAATTAGAAATGATGTTCGTATCACATCTTTAACTTTCAAGGACTAGTAATTGTTGTTATTACCTTGATCCGTTAATTGAATCGGTAGAAATTGTTTGTTTTATGCTCAATCAACCAGCGAGTCTTTTCGACACTTGTAACTGCCCTATTCAGTTTTGCATTTCCATCAGAATCGAATGTCTCCAACAAAATAATCCCTCTTTCTCCTCCTCCTTCTCTCTCTCCTCTTCTCTTTCCTTCTATACCCCTCTCTCTCTCTCTCTCCATATATATATGATTTGCTACTCAAGGCAAAATATTTCATGATCAGAACGTAAATTTGTA